ACCATGTATGCAGAGAGCCATTTTAGAATCTTCTTGGGGTGGGTACCCTTGGCTTCGAGGCTGTGAGGATGAGCTTGCCCACATTTGCAGAAGGCTGCCTGAGAGAAAGCTCAGCTTTTTCTTTGAGCTAGAGATTCTTAACCTGCACTATCTCTGCCTGAAGTATAGAACATAGTTCTGTAGTGTCGTTACAGAACCAGGCATGTTACATGGCCCATTACATCCTGTGTCACACTAGATGTCACAACTCTAATAAAAGTGGATGCCTTAGTAATCCATTCCAGAGATAAAAAGAGTGAAGCTACCAGCTCATGATTTGGTATCAGTTCTGTCTATATTTAAGTGCATGTGGTTTAATGTTGACTGGGAGAAGTGAGTTTGGGTCTCTTCTGGAGAAATGTGAGGGATGCTCCTAGCATTTTGGCTGAACTCACTGCTGTGGACTGAGGCACACGTGTGCAGGGTTGAAGCCTGACAGCAGGAGGGGTCACCGCACGCACCCAGCTCTTCCCCCAGCCCATCCTCGCAGCCCCCAGCTCTGCCTGAGGCCCTTTTTGTCTGCCTGAGTTCCTTCCCCTTTTCTGTAGAGTCCTGGAGCCTCTCACCCAGCACAGCTGACCTGCCAATGATAAATACCATTTAATTACAGAACAAGCTTTTCTGCCATTTCTCTCAGCATGGCTTCTATTGCTGAAGATTAAACTTCATTCCAATACCACTGAATTACCTTTTTAAACCTATTATTTCAATGTGATTAACTTCACTTCTTTTCATTTAGCTGTAAGCAAAATCTTGTTTACAAGGCAAAAATAGTCTTTGCCTTAATATCGGCAATAATAATACAAACGAACATTGCAAGAAAATAATTTATGTGAAAAACAGGAAAAAATGGCATTGATACATGAGTCTCCTCTTCAATTAATAAAAAGGAGGAAATATTTAAAAACAATTTATCAAAGAAATATATACAGTTCATACATCATGCATTTGCAAAGTGGGTACGAATATTCATTCCACAAATAGCCCTGTGACCCTGGGATTCTAATTCTTTTGTGTGTGACGGAATCAGAGTTATGGTTAAAATTCAGAGCTGGGTTTGGTTAAGGGAGTCCTGGGACAGGCTAAGCTACTGTCGGAAAAAGAGGCTAGTGTTTGTGGGACACCTGCCACATTCTTTAATTTTTTTTTTAGTTGTAGATGGTCACAATACCTTTATTTTATTTGTTCATTTTTATGTGGTGCTGAGGATTGAACCCAGTGCCTCACACTTGCCAGGCAAGTGCCCTACTACTGAGCCACAACCTCAGCCCCTGCCACAGTCTTTTGAACATGGCTCAAATGCGTCTGAGGGTTTTAGAGAAATCTGTTGTTTTTGCAAGCCTGCTTGGGCAATTCAACACCTAGGATGGTTTTGAAGGCACACCTCCACCATTTCATTTACATCTCTTCTTTTCAAGATAAAATTCCAAGTTATAAAAATCAGATTTTTAATAACAATTGCAAAAGGGATAAATGATTGGCGATTTTTTAAAAAAATGATTTTTATTTGAAGCGAACCCTGGCAGACTGTTTCCTGAAAGTTGTCAAGGCCGGGTGGCCGCTGGGAAGTGGTGGCATCTGTCACTGCAGTTATGCAAATCCCCTCCTGTTGGGGCCAGAGTTTGGAGAGGGGATACATGGCTGCATGTTGGCAAAACAGACACTGTATGCTGCCACCCGCGTTTCTCCCTAATTTATTTTTACCATTTTCTTTTATGGCCTTCCAGAGATGTTCGTCCCAGGGAGTTCCTTTACAGGGCAATGCATAGAAATTAGCATTTACATCATATTTAACAGTTTACAAAGTGTTCCTCCACCCACTCATAAAACAATGTGCTTTTATAAGGAAAATATCAATAGCAGAATGACTATTTCCACATATGGTGTCCATGTTTAGCTGATGTATAAATTCCTTGATGGTTTAGGAGGAAAACTGGAAGTTAGGCATAGTGGCACATGCCTATAATCCCAGTGACACTGGACGCTGAAGCAGGAGGATCGCAAGTTCCAGGCCAGCCTTGGAAATGTAGCAAAACCCTGTCTCAATATTTTTTTTTTTTTAAAAAAAGGGATAGAGGGCATAGCTCAGTGCTAGAGCTAGAGCACTGCATGTACAAGGTTCTGGATTCAATCCCCAGTACCACCACCACCACCACACACACACACACACACACACACACACACCCCAAAACAAAACAAAACACCCAGGAAAAATAGAGAATTGGCAAAAGGTTTTCTAGCCCAAGCCAGGGTGCCCAGTCTGCTGTGTATAGCCAGAGAGATGCTACTGGGAAAGGGCAGAATGTGATAGACATAGACACAGGGCCAAGGGACACAGGGGCTCCTACCCTGGCTCTCCTTTTCCTTCTCACATGCTTTGTCTCCTAGCTGTTCTTTCTCACCCCTCACCAGCTTTTCTTGTCCCCCCCTTTCCTTGTTGCCTTTCCCCCTATGTTCCTCCCTCCATTTGATTAGCCATAGTTACTCAGCACCAGCTGTGGTCCAGGTTCTGAACTGGGTGCTGACATGAGAGAGGAGAATCAGACACCTTCCACTGTTCTAGTCCATGGAGGTTTTGGGAGTGTAAAAATGTACTTCTACATACACGATCATTTGGACTGACATTATCCCCTTCATCTGCATAACATCAAAATTATTTTCATCATGTGGAAACCCCCATAATGGAGACCCATACTGGCCAGGAGAATGGGGCTACCTGGGATCAAGTCTGGCTTCCTCTGTGATAACGGGTCCTCTCTTTTTCCTGTTAGCTCTCTATCTTGTTCAACTCAGAAGTTGTTAAAAACTGCTTGTCAGGAAACTTATTTGTGTGTCCTCATCCTCACAACAGCTCGTATTGTAGAAGAGAAAGTGGAAGGAGAAGGCTTTGTTGCTTGCCATGCAGGCACTAGCCCTGTTCTGTCTTGGGATTTGCTTACAGTAGCCCAGGCAGAGAGCTGTTCACTGTGTCTGTGGGGACTGCTGGGGTTTGTACCCTGCTTCCCATCTCAGAGGAAGGCTTCCTCAGAGGAATAGGGAGCAGCAAGCAGCAGAGCTGACAGAGGAAACAGTCAGTCCCTGAGAACAGGGACCACCCTCTGGGGCAGCTACCCCTAGAATGCCTCATTATGACTTCTTGGGGGGGTGGGGACCAGGAACTGCAGATGTAGAGAGTGCCGTCTTCTTCCAGGGTGGGGGCAGGGGCTCTGAGAGGCTGGGGGAAGTGCCAGAAACCATCAGGGCAGGTTGACAGATGTGTTTTCGGCATCTGCCTCACTCCTGGTGCTAGGCAGATGGGTTGCGGGGACCAGGCAGCTGAAAATCTGGATCCATTTCAAACCACTCCATTTCCCAGACTCTAAGCGAAATGTTTCCAGAGGGCAGCCATGAAGCCAGCAGCTCCAGGGTTCCCAAATAGAGAAAATGCCACCAGAACCCCTCACAATGTCTGGTATTGTAGGCAGGGAATTCCGGGACCAAATGAAGATTCTCTGGCTTATGAAATCTCTTATATCTGTATCTGCCCTTATAGTTCTGCATTTCACCTTTGATGCCTTTAGTGACATTGAAATATACCCACTTGTCAGACAGGACTGTCAAGCTGAAGGCTGACTTGACTTCCTAGAACCATTCGGTCAATACAGAAGCCACTAGCCAGGAGTGACCATTCCTAATGGAGATATAGTGTGTTATTTGTTCACTGTGTTTGTGAGGGTTTTGAAATGAGGCTACCCCAAACTGAGATATACTATAAGATACTCATGGCATTTCAAAAAAGAATGCAAACTATCCCATTAATATTTCTTATATCGGTTACATGTTGTAATCCAATACCTTAGATATATTGGATTAAATTAAATATATTATTAAAATTAATTTTACCTGCTCTTTTTTTGACTTCAAAAAAATGTGACCACTTAAACATGTAAAAGGATATGCAGAATATGCATTCTATTTCTTTTGAACAGTGCTATCCTAGAGGGACATCTTAAGGCATTGTCTTTAAATGACTTTGTGCTTGTGTCCCTAGTAAACTTTGCCCAGAGGCCCTTCCTGCATGACCACCAGATTGTAAAGGCGTGAACCAGCCCTTCCTTTCCTGACAGGAATGTGAGTGAAATTGGGTCCTTGGGGACCCAGGTCAGCTGTTTCTGAAGAGCTGTAGCTTGGCTGCTTTGGTTGCTCTGAGCATTTCTGCTGATCTGCTACCATTGATGTCTAGACACAGACCCTGTGTTAGATCCCAATTCTCGTGGCTGTGGCTCTTCCCTCTGAACCCAACGAGAGGGCTTCTTCCTAGTTCCCATGGTGCCTGGACTTGTCCTGTTCTGACCCACAGGGCCCAGGACGCCCTGCCTCTTGCTTTGTACCACCTTTACCACGTGGTTCTAAGCAGGAGCCCCTGCAACTAGAGCAACCTTGGCAAGCAAACAGGACGGGGACGGGGTGGGGGGCTTGCTATAGTTACCTCCATTTTGTGTTCATTCTCAGCGCCCTACCACAAGGGACACTTTTCCAGGCATGGGCAATAGCAGATCTCCCTAGGGGAATGGGATGCTCCCTTAGGAACTCCCAGAATTTCCCATCTTCTATGGTGAGTTCAACTTTGGGGGCGGACGAGGATGTGTTTGCCTGCAATTCTCTCATTGAGTAGATACTTACTGAGCACCTGCCCTGTGAGCACTGGCGTCCTGCTGAGTACTGGCAACACAGCAGCAAACAAAAGCATCATAATCTGGTCTCTCAGGGCTCCTTCTAGCAGGAGAGACTTGCTGATCAAGAAATCACTCATTATAAACTGCAGGAGCTGCTTGGCAAATGGTGTTGGAAGCTGACCGGGTTTTGGGGGGAAGGGGTTGGGGGTCAGGAAAGGGTATGAGGTTTGAGCCGAAATTGTTGACTTTTGAAAGCTTGGCTTATGTTCCCATCTAGCTCTCCTGAAGGAACTGGGGTCAAAGTCCTTAGGAGAGGTCTTGAGGATCCGGAGAGACTGGAAAATATTTACCAGCATGGCCTGAGGCAGAATTGTCTGGAAGGAAATTTTTTTAATGGGAATAGAGAAAACATGATCCAGAAAGCCAGCAGGTCCCTGGCTTAATAGTAAGTCTGGGCTGCGACTGGGAGAGAGCATGGGGCTGGAATGCACCCTGGATTGAGGCAAGAGGCTCAAGACAAAGGTGGTGCAGGGTGACAGGGTGTGTGACTCCCTTCTGGCCAGGACTCCTGCTCTTGCAGAGTGATGATTTAATAGCTCCATGAGGAGTTGCACATGGCATACTTGGTGTTTTGTTGGGTCCTGTGTTTTATTGGCTCTCAGAAAAGCATCCAGGGTACGCCTGATGGGGTGCCCAATGTCAGAAAGACCTGGTTCCATTTGACCCCCAGACTCACTGTGGGACCTTGGGCAAGCCCCCTCCCCTCTCTGGAACGTAGCCTCCTCATCTGTAAAATAAGGGGGCTGGACTGGGTGACCTCCAAGTGCACAAGCCCATCTCAAGGTCCGGGACTCTGGGAGTCAATGATGTGCTTGGCTGAGCTGTTCCCAGCGGTAGCCCAGAGGTCGGGGTTCAAGCCTGTTATGGAGCTGCCACTCACTGGCTGCCACTTCTGATATTAATTTCTTTTCTCACCATGGGGCATGAAGACTTCATGAATGACTCCAAGAATTGCTGGAGGCCTTGGGGACAGAAGTTGGCCCTGAAAGCAAATGAAGCTAACTCCCTAGAGCTCACGGACCCCAGGCTTTGGTGACTTGAACCAAATTGTTTCTCCTGGGACCTAACTGTGGCTGAGCTGGTGAGTGCAGGACTGGCAACAAACTTGCCCTCCAATTGTTCTCAGATCCATGCTCCACCCCACGCCAATCCTGAGCAGAGAAAGTGCTGATTCTTTTGAAAGTATAAAAAGGTCACAGATGTGGTGTTGCTCCAGAGACCAGTTGAGTAACTGAGTAAGCACCATGAATCTCAGTTTCTTCACCCATAATATGGGGAAGAGAAAGTCACTCACCTTCAAGAGATTATTAGGAAATTAAAAGTTTATATTATATGCAAATACCTAGTAAAATTTAAAACTGTATGTAGATTTTTATAAAATAAAAATTTAAAAATAAAAAATATCCCTTCCAGATGAAAAAAAAAAATCTCTAGAGTTTGGAGATGTTGTTGCTAATCAATGTACTTCATTTGCCCAGCACTGTAACTTATGAAACACCTCTCTATGTTTATGACATCATTTTATTCTCATTAGGGACTAGATGGCAGGGACCATGCCCGGCAATGGCTCTTCAAGGGAAAATGGAATCCTCAAAGTCATAGTTACCCAGGGGGATGGGACCTGCATCAGATTGCCTCTAAGTGGTGAGTTTCCCCACTGTCTCATGCCAGCTGAATGGGACACACAGCTTGAGTATTCCCTCCCCCCTGTAAAACTCTTGGGGCATCTGCTATCCCTTTCGTGGTAGGTATTGGTTACCCACTCCTGTGGCCCCTTTACTTCAAGGGCCTTGGACGTGCCCCTCTCCCTTTTCACATTGCCAGAGGAGTTGGTTTAGGATTCCTCTGTGGGAGATCAGAGAGCTCTGGCCAGGCAGCTAGAGGCCCCAGCTTCATGCTCAAGTAAATGGTGGTCCTTCTGGTGGACCTTCCCGTGTCCTGGCTGACAGGTGGGCCTGGAGAACTCTAGGCCTTCTACAAAGGCTGGAGACTCCAGGGAAGTAGGTCAGTCACCAGCTAAGCTTCCTACCAAGGATGATCCTCCCAACAGGCTCCAATTGCACCGCAGATACTTGCTGAGCCCTTTTCCTGCCACCACCCTTCATGCCCGGACCAGGGGTCACATACTAGTTCCCATTCAAACTTTGTCCCTGTCCTTGAGAACCACAGCCACAGCCCAGAAAAGCCATCAGGGCAGCTACTAGAGATCAGTTAGCACAAAAGTGTCCGATTCCTTTCCAGCTAAACTGGAACATGTCTCTCTTCATGGGGTGGAAATAAATAAATAAATAAGTCCCCAGAAACAATACCTTAGTCAGAATAATAAAATTAAATTATAACAGGGCTGTCAGTGACACAATATCTGAGGGTGACAAGATGTAATCTCAGTAAAAATATCAGATCTGTCTGTTTATAGATCTAATAAATTATGTTAGAATTGTGCTCTTATAAATCTAGGCTGTCGAGGAAACCCAACAACTAATTCATCAGTTGCTCACCGAGAGGACTCCTTCTCCGTTCCAATTGCTCACCATGTAGATAACAAGGAGCCTTACAGACCGGCTGGTTAAATGTCATTTGTTTCAGAGCTGTAACACGGCACGGATCATTGCTCACACATAGACACCCAATTATATTAACCTGTGCAGCAATACGGTGTAACGACATGACATTAACGCAGCCACTTCAGAGGGGCGACAACTTCCCTCCTCCTCGCAGAGGACCAGCCCTGGCTTCTCCCCAGCAGCCCCCTTGTCATTTAAATGCAAAACACAAGCTCCTGAATGGAAGGAGCAGAGAGTCACTTCTCTCTGAAATCGAAAACATTCTGTGCTTTATCCTCTGTCAGCTCTGAGGGGTGAGTTTTCTATCCAGTAGCTCAACTTTTCCAAAGAACGGAATCCCTACCCCACTTCCTGAAATCCACAGTTTCTTAGAGGTTTTAGAGAGCAGCTCTGGGATTGTCCCCCAAAATATGGAACAGTGGGAAGACTGAGTTGGGGGAAGGGAGGCACAGAGCGATCCCTATCTGCAGAGGTAAATTACAAAGCACCGAATTCTGTGCCAATTGGGGTATCAAAATTTTTTTAAAATCTCATCAGAGACACAGGAGCAAGATGAACAGACCTAACTCATGCCCAAACCTTGTGTTCCACAATCTCAGCACTCTTGGCGTTTGGGGCTGGGTAATGCTTTGCCATGGGGATCCACCTTGTACACTGTAGGCTGTTTAGCAGGACCCCTGCTCTCTGCCCACTAGGCACCAATGACAATAACCAGACATTGGTCGAGGAAGAACTTTTCACTCTCAGACCTTCAGTACATATTTGCAAGTTGTGAAGTCACTGATGGTCTTCGGGGCTCTTAAGTTGCTTCTTAATAGAGGAGGGTCCTGTCTCTGACTCTCAGTCTCTCTGCTTAAAGAGGAGAGGTACATTCATCCTTCAGGTTTCTCAGGTTAGAATCCCAGCTCCTTGGTGTAACAGCCATAACCCTCTGGGCCTCTCTCTGTTGCTTCTTCTGTACAGTGGGGATAATAATAGCACTGACCTGAGTGTGTGTTGTAAGGACCTGTGATTTATGCAAACTAAAGGCACATAGAAAGCCTTTGGCTTTGGTGTTATTTACATGAATGACCTCTCCTAAAAGATCCTGGAGGTACTGAAGATAAGGAATTCACTCGAACCTTAAGGACAGAGCCTGATCAAGGGTCAGGACAAGACAAAGCAGGTGTCTTCTGTGGATAGCTCCAGTCCCAGCTGCCCAGAGGATGGACCATGTATGTCCGGAAGAGGCCCAGAGGTTACCAGTACTGGTCCCTTCAATCAATCAATGAATCAATAGCTTTTATGTGCCATGTGCTATGGTAAGTGCTTCAAAGATTACATGCCTTGTTCATCATAGTGGCCCTATGAGAGAGGTTCTATAGTTGGCTACATTTAACATGTGGGGAAACTGAGGCATGGAAAGATTATTATTATTTTAATTTGTCCAGTGTCATTCATTTAGTAAGTGTGGACCTGGGATTTGAACCCAGACAGCCAGCTTCCAGAGTCCGAATTCTCATTTTTTTTTTAATGCTGGGGATTGAATATAGGGTTTCAGACATGCTTAGCAAGTGCTCTTCCACTGAATTATACCCCCAGCGCTGGAGGCCACATTCTCAATCATTTAATTATGCTGCTCACTCCAGCACCCCTCTTTGATAAGAATCTGGGATTCTGTGCCCTGCTCAGGGTTGACTTGGGGAGTGGTAAGTGGGCAAGGCAAAGCCAGTGGTCCCAGAAGCTGAAACAGAAAGCTGCTGTCCCCCATGTGACCTTTTTTCTGGGTTTCCATTTAAGGTGATCTCTTCTGTTTCACCTTCCCATTGAAATGTTTATGAAGACATGCAAATATTTCCACATTTAAAGCACAAGAACCTGTAGTATTAGTCTGTAGTATGCATGCGATTTCTACCACCAAAACTTAATGAAGACTTAAGGCAGAAAGTTAGACCTCAGAAGGCAGACTCAAGCTCCCCACACCTACTCTGTATCTATATCTCAAAACAAGGCCTTTACCTGAGGGAAAAAAGACTTCTCCACTTCTGCCCCTGCTTGGTGGGAATTGTGTTTGGCAGGAATTGTGTGCAGAGAAGGCTGGGCTTCTAGACCCATCCCACCCCAGCAATGTGTTTTCACCAGTTCAGCTGCAAGCACTCAGTGCCTCTGGGTGGGAGTGGACAGAGCAGGTGGTGCACATCTGGAGTGTGGTACTAGCTCTGGGAAAAGGTTGATCCAGAATGTACTTGGAAATTCAGGGTTGGAGTTTGTACTATTCGCACAAATTCTTTGGGAATGTGGGATCTTCTCACAGTAACCAGATCAGCTGGCCTCTACTCCCCAAGGCCCATCAGACTCATAGTGAATAGGGGGATGAGAAGCACTGGACAGTCAGAGAGAGGGTTAGAGGGTATCATAAGGGCCAATCTATGGCACAAGCTCTGGGCTTGAGGATCAAATAGGAGCCAGAGGAACAGCAAGGAGGAGAAGAGGAGCCAAAGAAAATCTTATTTTGTTTACCAGAAAAGTCCTATCTGAAAGATTTTCCTTCCTTTTTGGGGAGTGAGCTTGGGGTGGGGGATAAGTAAGGAGGAAATAAAAAGAAGCAGCATATGAGCCCTCTGAGAAAATCTGCATCTGCATCATAAGACAGAAAATACTTACTCACAAGGTACAAAAAGAACTTTCTTTTGGAATAGATCAATTATAGTAAGTTGAAGAACATTTGAGAACACACCTGAATTGCCCTTTCAGCAAAATTCAGGAAAATATGCAGTTTTGATATAAGAAATGAAACATGAATCAGTGATATCCCCATATATGATATGAAGGGAGCAAGCTGAGAAGACTTGGAAATAAAAGAAAAGATAAATAAAATCCCAAAAGATGTAACTATGAAGAGACAAAATTACAATCAACATTACAGACAATACAGAGCAGAACTGGCGATGCAGAAAATAGTCAATGATCACTTACTCTCCGTATACCTCAATGTTACCATCTGTTTAATGGTGATAACATAGTATCTGCCTGAAGAGTTGTTGTGCAGTAAGTTAAATAAAGCACATAAGTTTACAGTAGAGTATTTAAGATGAAACATATTTGAATAAATATATGCTAATAATTAAAATATATTAAAATAATAATAATAATTAAATAATTAAAATCTGATATAAAAAGACTAGGGAATGGTGGTGTAGCTCAGTGGACGAGGGTGTGCTTATCAATGTGTGAAGCTCTGTGTTCAATTCTGAGCACCCAAACAAACAAACATACAAAAATCCCAAAATAAACAAATAAACAAGCAAAACTAATATGCTTACAAGAGAAATGGCTTTCAAGATACTTTAGTTGTGCATTTGAGGATTTGAACCAATAATAGACAAAGCAGACATTGGACTTGGAGTCAGAAATTTTGAATAAACTTGAACAACCCTAGCAGAATATAGAAGATAAAAAGAATGAGATTTTATATATATATATAAAATAGAAGACAGCATTCAAACATCATTACTTCTATTTCTTAAAAAAAGAGATTGTTGTGTGAAATAGCATTCAGATTTATAAAAAAGAATTTTTTGAAACCCTGTTATTTGCAACAGGGATGATTGTGGAAGACATGAGATTAAGTGAAGAAAGCCAGGCACAGGAAGACAAATACCACATGTTCTCATTCGTATGTGGAAGCTAGAAAAGTTGACCTCATAGAAATAGAGAGTAGAAGAGTGACTACCAGAGGCTGGGAGGTGGGGAGACAAGGGCGATAGGAAGAGGTTGATTAATGGGTACAAAATTACAGCTAGATAGAAGGAACAGGCTCTAGTGTTCTACACAGAACACTACCACACAGCACAGAGAGGGGACCATCGCTAACTATAATTTATCATATATTTCAAAGTAGATAGAAGGGAGGATTTTGAATTTCCTTACTACAAAGAAATGCTAAACCTTTGAAACGATGAATATACTGATTTAACAGTTACATATTGTACACATGCACTGAAATATCACACTGTACGCAATACACACGTACAATTATTATGTGACAATGAAAAATAAAATTAAAAATTAAAAAGAGGCCATTGTGCATATGAAATACTC